AATTTACCTAATCCCACCTGTTTTCCTACCCAGGCAAGTTTTAAATTCCTGCTTACAACATCTCAGCACACATCAAACTCAGCTTTGTGTGYCCAAACACACAAAGTCAGGGCGGTGAAAGCTGTGCAGTCCTCGCTATCCAAGGTACTCAATGCTCAGGGTTGGGTTATATTTGCAGGAAAACAACTTGAAGTCCACAGGGGTGCAGATTTCTGGATGTYGTAGGTCTTCAGATCTGTCTGAGCAAGATTTTCTGGAGGCTGTTTAAAGCCAGAAATAAAAAAAAAAATCTAATTTGGAGTTGTCAAGCACTGCTTGGGTAAGGAGAAGCTGMCAATCAGCCTGTGCTGCTGTTGGGAGACCCAGAGTCTGCTGTGGGTGCCCTATCACTCCTTCTCAGCCGAGGTGTTTGCTTTGTCCCTGCCCTCGGTGGCACCCTGGGCACACTCAGGGCGCTGGCATGTGTGTTCCTGCCTGGTGCCAGGTACGAGGCCGCTGGGACAATGACCCCACAGCCCTGCCAGGCCCCCACCCTTCACTGACCCAGCCACCAAACCCCAGAGTCCTGCACATCCTCTTCAGCATCCCTGGCACAGGGAAACCCAGAGGCTGTTTGCCCTCCCATTTCCCCTCCTGGATGGGCTCTCCCTGCAAAGCCAGCACCTCCTTGCTGGGATCAGCTCAGCCATGCCAAGCTCCCCAGGGTAGGTTTTAGCCCTGTGCCAACTGGATTTCTTCCCTGCACCCAGAATTTGCCCAGTAACTATTTATCTCCACTTGCCTGAGCAATCTCTTATTTCWTCCCCCCTCTGAAGCTCGACCCTGTGTCAAACACTCAGGAAGAGYGGCAGGAACGGGAAGCAGCTCTGCCTCCAGATCCTGCCGGACCTCCCCCCTCCAAAATGAAAGACATCTCCTTCCAACTGGTTTCTGAGTTCTCCAGTGGGATTTACTAAAATATTTTGCTGCCAACTTCTAAGAAGTATATTTTTAATTAAAAAAAATTAAAACCATCATCCAGTCACACCAGCAAACTCTCTTTCCTATGAAAAAATGCACAAGCCTGACTTCAGGAGCTCTGTCTATTGGCTTGGCATCGTGCTGATTAGAACTCCCTGTAGTCACAGGAACTGGGCCAGCCCCAGGCTAAATTGTTTTCTTCTTCTTACATTAAGAACATTCAAATATCATCCATTACTTTGTTCATTTAAAATTTCCTAGGACTCTTGGCATGGACATTACAATTAGAGATGCCACGTTCCCTTTTCAGTTCGTGGGTGAGCTCAGACTATGCCCCAGCACAATCTTGTGGCACTTGGATTTCCTCCAACACCCAGGAAATAAAGTTATAAATAAAAAGTGTTTTGTTTATTCCTTCCCCTCCACATTAATTATTCCATTCCCATTCACACTGAAAACTGMAGAACATTTTTGTTTATAAGATGCTTTCAGGCTCAAAATTAAGTTTAGACATATTTTACCAATTTGAAGAGACAAACAAATATTAATTGCATCACACCCTACGTCAGCCAGCTTCAAAATTAAATGAGAAGGCATCTTCACCATTTAGAGAAATTGGCTATTAAGAAAACCAGGGGGTTTAGATGTTGCTTTTTCCTTCTAAGAAAATAAAAATAATGCAAAGAGACACATCAATGCCTGTTTCTATCCTCTTACTTGAGTGTCTAATAAGAGGAAGCCTAAAAGAAAAACACCTTAAAAAAACAAAGTTTCTCAAGGGATCCTGCCGGTCCTGGAACAGGACATTATGGTGAATATGCATGAAAGGCATGAGTCAAACTGAACTGGGGAGCAAGCATCAGCTTTCACTTGCCATTTTCCAAAGCCTTCCACGCAGGCTGCCAAGACAGCAACTGAATRACAAGGGTTTTATTTGAATGCAGAGGGGAGATTAATGTTCCTTAGGACTAATTGGAGGACCCTTCTTTAAATTAGCTCACTTGAAAGATGTGCTGCTTCTCTATTTGGCCAACTCGCAGAAGCAGTAACAATTTGTGAATAAAARGAGATTAATTATTTCAATTCAAAACCTTTTAGCCCCACTGTCAGTTTTAAGTTTTGAGAATTTCTATTAGGGGAAAAAAAAAAATCAGGACAAGGTCTTTCCAAACTGGTTGCTGTCAAGAAAAATGAGAAGTTAGATAAAACTCCCACGTGCCAGATGGTAAATCACAATAAACGCTTGGGCTGTTAGATGCACAACAAGCGACAAAGCATTGACACATACCATCAGCAGCAAACCCAAAATAGAAAAGATATTTTAATAAGTTGTCATTTGGGGAAAAGATCCTCGTTAAGATCATCAGAATCAAAAGTCATACACCTAGGGCTTCTTATTTTCTTCATCACCTCACATAAGCCTGAGGAACAGCCAACAGTTTCAGGTGACTTATATTAGGTTCAGGGYTACAGTCAGCAAGAGCCTTGGAGTTCACTATTTAGACACTACTTCTGACCCTTTCTGCCAAGTTSTTTAAAAAAAATATTGTTAAAGGATACCAGGGAATTGTTTACTCAAGCCATTATTGTTTCCTGAACACAGATGCAAGAAAAAGTTTTATTAAGAAGATAAACAGCTGCTACTGTACACGGTTTAGATGGCAACAAAAGCATCTAAGGGCCATAAAGGGAATAGTAAGGGAATTAAAAAGCATTTTTATGCATGAAGATGGCTAACATCTGTACGTTCATTAAAGTGGTATCAACTATGCTTTTAATTAAAAGTTAGTGACAGAAACTTAAATATGATTAATGAAGCCCAGCAGCCTACCAGAAGTCTGCTCCATCAAAAGGAAGCAGCACAAGCTGCGTTCYCAACCCTTGCTGCTCATTTCTTCCCCTCTCAGAGATGCTGCCACAACCAGAACACACTGCAAGGACCACAAAGCAGAAATTCTGAGACAAACAGCAAGCCAGGACAAGTCTGCAACTGTGCTTTCATGCTTGGCCATCCTTTATTCTGTATATCCCGAGGAGGCGTTTCAATTACCGAGCAGCCCGTGGCCAAAACAAGGAGCTGGTTACCTGTCAGAATAATCAGGCACTCTGAGATCCATCGACCATCGAGGTTTGCCACAGGAAAAGAGGGAAAAGGGCTSCCCTACAAACAGCAGTCTGCTATTCAACAGTGGAGGGGGGGGTGGAAAAACCTCACCCAGAAGCCAGTGCTGAACTCTGTAAGGCAGTCACTCATCTTGTGTTACTCGGGAGCACAACGCAGTCATGACAAAAATAAACTACGTGATAAAAATACAGCACGAGCAAAAATATGTGGGCACGGAGCGGGAATCGGTGCCATCAGAGGATAAGGAGTCSTGCAGCCACAGATATTCTGACCTGCACACAAACCTCTGCCTATTCAAGCTCTGATGTGCMCAAAGATCTATTGCCTGATCTATTGCCTCTGTCCTGCTGAACTGCTGTCATGTTCAGAGCTGAGCACTCACAGATTATGTCTTCAAAGACTGAAGATGCTTGCTGACATCTAATTTCCCATTTAGCAGCTTCCAGATGCATGCAGCACACAGAAGATGGAAGCTCTCACTTTAAAGCAGGTACCAACACAGAAAGAAACTTTTTTTCTTTGCTTAAACACAGAGTTTAAATAAACTTTGCCTCAGTCGTGGCATTTAAACATGAAATGTGACAGGACTGACTGAACAGGGCGCTACTCTGAGGGGTTCCCTGAATGATGCTCCAGCCCCAGGCTGAGCACCTTAATGCTCTCCRTGCTTCTGCTTCTTCAGTGGAGCAGGAGAGGCTGGGGAGAAGGTGAGGGAAGGGATTTAACCCTCCCACAGCTGAGAAAAAAGCTGGAGCTGTTCACAYTGTAACCGTGGGGCAGCAGCATGCTCCGGGATGGAGCTCAGGGTTGTTCAGGAGCACCAAGCAGGACCCCCTTCTGCAAAGGGATGGGGAGGCCAGGAGAAGGGACTGCTAGGCCCAGCAAAGAGAATCCCCTCTTGCAGCCCATCATCCAGCTAAGGAATGGGCATTCTGCTCCTTCCAAAGGGAAAAATCTCTTCCTCACACTCCCGCAAGGAAAAGGAGCGCCTAAGGAGCACGGCCCGCTCCCAGCCGCCACCCGGCAGTGCTCAGACACAGGAGGGTCTCCAGCCCCGAAAGCCTGCGGGGTTTTCCCTCATCTGTAATCGGTCACCGGCGTTTATTCTTTGAGGCTGCTGCGGGTCTCGCCCTCTTCTCCCACAGGGATGGGAGGCACCCCCGAGCAGCTTCACCCCTCCCCAYGGCCAGGCCCCGTCCGAGGGGATCGTGGGCCACCGCACGACAAAACCTCTACCGGGAGCCTCTACCAGAGCCGAATTCGGTGAAATTCAAGCCTGGGAGATGCGGTACCCGAGGAACGAGGCCAGGATGGAGCTCTCCTGGGGGCTGGCTCCGGCCTCGAGCCGTGACCGCCCCCGAACGCTCCGGGTGCCGAGACTCTGCGCGGAGGGTGCTCCGTCCGTCCGTCCGCTCGTCCCCGGCTGTCCCTGAGGGCACACAGCGGTGTGTGCCACCCGCGGAGCGAGAGCCCGACASCGGCGGTGCCACTCGCCGGACCCCGGCAGCGCGGGGCTGCAGGTTCCCCGTCCCTGGCGTGCGGTGCCGGGCGCTGCCATGGCCGCGGGGCCCTCCCGGTCACCGACTGCTCCATCGGGAAACTTTTACCGCCGTATCCCGGGCAAGGACGGACAGCCCGGCTTCGCTCAGGCCGCGGCAGTCCGGAGGTGCCGACCGGGACCCGCCGCGGCCCGCGGGATCCGTTCCACGGCCCCGGGGAGCGGCCCCCGCGCCGCACCGGCCCCTCCGCGGAACCGCAGCCGCCCCGCGGGCCCGGCCACCCCTCCTCAGCTCCCCTCGGGCCCGCCGCGGTTCCCACCCCCGCTGAGGCACGGCCGGGCCGGCCCGGGGTCCGCCAGGTGCCGGTGCTCGCCCTCAGCGCCCCCCGCCCGCCCTCAGCACCCCCCGGCACGCACCGGCTGCTCCCGGCGCGGCGGCCGCGGCTCCCGCTGCTGCTGCTGCTGCTGCTGCTGCTGCCGCTCCCGATGCCGCCGCGGCTCGGCGGCTGCCGTTGCCTACGGGTCGCTGCCTGCCGGCATGCCCGCGCGCCGCTGGCATAATCCCCGGCGCGGGCGGGCCGGGCGCGGGCAGCTCCTCGCCCGCCGGCGCTGCCGCGGCGCGGGGACGGCGGAGGCGGGCGGAGGCGCGGGCGGGCGGGCTGCCGCAGCTGCGGGGGAGGAGGGAGCGTGGAAGGCGAAGAGCCCCGCGCCGGCACTGCCCCTGCCCTGCCGTGCCACGGCGGTCCCGCGGCTTTATCCGCCCGCCGAGCCGAGCCGAGCCCCGCGCACCGGCAGCACCGGGAGCCGCCACTTCCTTCCCCGCGCCACCCCGCGCTCCCTCAGCCGAGCGGGCGGGGCGGGGGCGCCCCCTGCCGGCCGCSGTGGGGAGCAACGGGACCGCCCCGCCGTGAGGGGAAGGCGCGGACTGTGAGGGGAAAGAGCGGACKGTGAGGGGAARGMGCSGAYGGTGAGGGGAAGGTACGGACGGTGAGGGGAAGGTACGGACGGTGAGRGGAAGGTACGGACGGTGCGGGGCTCCCCGGGGCTGGAACCGCCTTTCTCCGCTCGCCGGCCCCTGCTGGACTCGTTCGCCCGCTCGGTGCCGGTACCGGTGCCCGCTGGGCGGTTACCGAGTGTCCCAGCCCGCGCTCTGCCCTCACCTGCCCCCAGAGCAGCGCTGGTGACTCCTCCAGCTTTACTCTCTGCAAAAACTGGGGGGGAAAAAAACCTCAAAAAGTTTAGCGATGGTTTGATTCAGAAGCTTCAGAAAAAGACCCTGCAATGAAATTTGCCGTGGCCTTTGAAACATCCCTTGATTTCCTGCGGTTGTTTTTTATTCAGGATGCATCTTTCCAGCGCTTTTTCCTTCTCTCCAAAGGCAAAACACTCGCACTTTGTTTTATAACTGCTCCCTGCATTGCCACTAAGTTATAGCCCATATTACAGCTTTGTGCAAGGCCRATTATGCCTAAAACTATCAGTGCTACAAGACACGTTTTTAATTTGCTTTCTAGAGATGCGAACAAACAGAAATTTTCATTTCCAAAGTTTAAATCTTAGAGCTGAAGGAGATGAAATGTTTATTATCATAGAGAAAACTATGCATGGGAGTGTCTTGCAAGGGCAGAGTGAGGCAGAGGAGAGCCTGGGGCTCCAGGCAAGAGCTGGTAGATCTGGAAAAGCGATAAATGCCAACATAGCTGGGAGGTGTCAGGTGAGAAGAGGAACATGACTAAAGTCCTCTGCAGAGGAAGCACAAGCTTCTCTGCAAGTCCTTATGTTTCCTGCAAGAGAGAACAAGGCAATTTTCTCGTGTTAAGGGGAAGTTTAAAGAGGATTAAAAACATACGGACAGTGTCCAGCAAAGGGCAGGGCCAGCAGAGTCCTGGTTCCCACAGTAAATCCTCCCTGTGCCCCAGTTTTTGGTGCTTCGGGTCTGATTTTCAGGAGCACTGAGCATTCAGGCCTCCCACTGATTTAATCTGGAACTGCAGAGCCTCTACCCCTCTGATGAATCAGGCCAAAGGCACCACACCGAACAGGTCACACAGTTATTTGAGAAGGTTGTCCTAGAAGTTTACTAAAAGCAACACTTTTTTCCCCCCTTCGGTGTTGTAATAGTACGGAAATAGCCTAAAGAGCTCCAACAGATGGAGGAGGACTTTTGATTAAAAAAATAAATCCTGACTCACAATTCAGTTTTCTGGATGTAATAAAAACGAGTCCCATGAATATGAATAGTGCTGGAAAGAATGGAGTGGAGATGAAGGGAGGTTAGGAGGAGAGGCAGTGAAAGAGCGAAGCTGATTTACCTACTTGCCTCTAATGTCTGTCAGGAAAATTCTTTGGTTTTGCTGTAGCACTGATGAAAGAAAACAAGACCATTAGTGGACTCATGAAATCTTCCTGTGATGGATTCCTTGGAAAAATCCTGCTGGCTGACTGATATTTCTGAAGAATGCTTTAAAATTGTACCTTTAATAACAAAATGGTGGGGAAACTGCAGCTGAATAGAGCTAAGCAGGGAAGAAAAGATTCTTTTTCTCTTCCTCCAACCCCTTCTAAGTAAAAATTACCAAGTGAGAACATGGAATGCCTTCAAAATTGTACATCTGTATGGGGAGACTGGAAATACATTGGAGCAAGTCCTCTCCAAGCATTCAGACCCAATTTCTGCATTTTTAGAGTAAAGGGGAAAATGAGTAACTCCCAGCCTTGACTTCTCCCCAGCTCTGGTCTCTCACTGGATGTACCCACAGGGCAGAAGGGGTTGCAAAAACCACAAAATTTTCAAAAAGACTGTGCATGGGCAGGACAGTCTTTCATCAAATATCTTAAACCACAGCACTCTAATTTTAGAATCAGACCTTCTCAAGCTTCCTTTATGACAGCTATTCTGGCCCTGTAATCACATCATTGGTGGCTAAACATCTCGAACAAGGACAGAATTTGAAACACACAATATGATTAAAACCTACATTATCGCTGATGTAATATCCCAGAGCCTATTATTGTACTTGGGCAGGAGGAAAGAATCTAATTAAACATTTATTTAATATTAAAATACAAACCAAAATATCAATGTTGGACAGTAATGCAACAATATGTCAACTGGCAAATACATATTTTTCACCAAGAAAAATTCGTTTATGTTCACAAATACATGAAATGTACACGAACAGAACACTGGCACGAAATCCAGTCTGGCATATGGAACCAGTAACTTCCAGGTAAGGAGTTCCAGTCCTGGAGCATCAGCTGGAGTGGAGTTGTTCACTGGGAGACAGAGAGGCTGCTGTCAGGTGAATCCTGGTACTCACAGTATCAAAACACCCCTCACTGTGACTGCTGGGACACTTCAGAAGTCAGAGCAGTATTTTCCTGCCACAGCCATAGTGCAAGTATTGCTCACAGTTCTGTCACAAGGAAAATCATCCATGTTAAAGGTTCAAATTAAAAGGATTTACCACACAACAGCAGTTCTCTTCAATACAGGTAACTCATGTTGCTTTTTGTATTAAAGTCCAAAATATCCTCTTGGCTAATATTTACATCACACCATAAATATTTATAAAATGGTGGAGGAAAACCAAGTGCAAAAGGGTAACACTATCATTTTCTGAAAACAAGCTGCCTTTTAATTTCTTCTTATAAATTGAATATCACTATTTAAAAATAATTAATATCTCTAAAAATATTACAATACAGGATAAACATTGATTTCTCAGGTGTAACAAAAATATGTTTAAAATAGAGGTGGCTGTTTGAAGTATAAAATATTGCTGTTTGTAAAGGGTAACATGGTTGTAAAACTACTTCTCAGGGTTTATAAAAATACAAAACAATTTGCATTTACTGAGTGCATCATTATACATTAGTGCAAAAAAAAGTATATTTGCAGTCAAGAAGGAACTGTCAAAGATTCGCAGAGGTTCGTAAGACATGAAATCTTTTCAGAGTCATTCGTATTAACCCCAAATCTCTATTAATTCTTTCCAAACGATCTTCCAGGGCTTCCTAAAAGGAAGAGTTAAAAGAAAGAACAAAAARCATTAATAATATATCATAAAATCCAATGATCCTCCTAAAATTAAGAAACTGCTATCATTCCTATGTTCCTGGTATCYTTTTTGAGGCCTTAGCAGCATTCTGTTATCACCCAAAAACCAGAGCCAGACCCACAAACCTGTCATATTATTTTTACCTTCTTACTTTCTTCTTTATACTTTCAAGGAGACAAAACCCAACCAAACAAGAACTAAACTTTGCAATTTCTCCTACAGCACAATATCCTTCCTGTCTGCCACTTCAGGGATCTATTTCATAGTCACTGCATTTTGTTAATGCATTGCCTTTATCCACCTCCCAGTGTTAGCACAAGAATAGACCATTCTTGCAGTAATKTGGCAAAATGCATCCCGTGTACAAAAACCAGAAGACATAAACAACAGAAAACCATAATGTAAAAACCAAAAACAATACAAAAATTCCCACAGTAATCACACTTACTACCCAGAGGATCTTTTCTCTACATTATGTATTCTCAAATTGTGGAAATAAAAAGAGAACAGTAGCACAGAGAAGCTTTCTCACCTGATTTAGTCTCGCTTGCAAGGTCATTCTTCCACCAGAACAAGGGATTCGGCTCAGTGCAGCCTCAATCTAGTAACAGAAAACACTTCAGCTGTRAATTAGTTCCAAGAGCCAATATAAGCCTTCCTAACTCCTCTTACAGAAAGAGAGGTGAGGTGTATGGATTACAGATACATGCAGAGTTTTGTTCTTTAACACCTTAATAATGTGCTAACCCTCATTCACGCTGTGTTCGTGTTACAAGGACTCTCCTTTAATCAATTTAGGAACAGAGAAGGACTGGAAATAGAGCAAGGAAGGATAATGGCTCATTCCATACATGACACTTAAATCGTGCATGAATTTCAGCCATGCATTGYATGGACACAAAGCTCCATCCCTCACCTCTCATACAACAATTACGATTTGTCACAACTTGAAAACAAAAAAAAAACCAAAACAACTTGCCTGTTGCTTTTCATGAGTCAGCTCATCGAAAAGCCTCTCTGTTTCAGCCAGAGTTGTAATCCTTGTTGCATATTTGAAGTCTTCCTCACAAGGTGATGGCACTGCCTCGTATCTCTGGCTCCTCTCATCCCAAGCTGCCGTTTTCTTCGTTCCATTATTGACGGATTCGGCACAAGGGCCGTGTCTGACACCCGAATGCTGCCTTCCTATCAACAGAACAGGGCTYTTCTTACTTGCTTTGGAATTATCTGGGAAATTGTTGCATAGGACAGAAAGAGAAGCTAATGACAGCACAAGCAGTKTGGTTTTGGCAGTGCATGAACTAAGAGAGGGACGAGCAAAGCCTCAGTCCCTTGCCTTAAACAGCTTCCCAAAAGAATGCAAAACATTTGTATGGGTCATCTGTCAAGTGATCTTTGTAGCACAGCATATTTTTTGGTTAACAAACAGATTCCTGTGTTGGACTAATTAGGAATTACTTTCACTGGTACATTTCTAAGTAAGACCAAGCTGACCAGCTGTCATGCAAACACCAGTCTAAATAAGAGCATCAATAAAACCAAAACAGCAGAACATTGGGACAAGGATCGCAAAAGATCAKTCATTTAAAAAAGATCAATCATTTAAAAAAAATCTGAAACAACTGGTTTTATTACAGTTACTATTTGCTGTCCTTAATGCAATGTTTAGCAATAGAATTTTATTAGTGTGACTCAGTATGTAYATCTTAATATAGACCCCACAAAGATATGCATTGTGTAATTGAGTTAAGCACAGGGGAATATATTACCCTTCTCTCTCAATTTAATTATTTTTTTGGTTCCGTTGTGTTTGTGCACATACACATAAAAATAAAATACTGTATGAACAGGATTTCTCTGCCTACAGGAATAAGGCAAGATTTAGGGGATTTTTGAAAGTTGGACTTCACAGAGTAAGGAATCTTCTACCACTGTGGAAACAATTGTGGTGCAAAAATAAAGAACAGCTTCCCTCCACTTGGACACATTACCTTCTACATCATCTAGTGAGTGAAACTGGAGCCTTTTCCTTGGATTATTGTGCTGTAAAGTAGATGYAGGACCAGTTTCCAGGTCATCTAGAAGTATATCAAATCTACAGAGCAAGAAGCACACAGCAATTACTTACTAGAAATCATATATCAAGCAATACATTATTCTCTACTTTTTCATCTTTTGGTTCAATAAACGAYTTTTTTTTAAGAAGAAGATTGTAATTCCTGTTCGATCATTCTGCATTTTCCTTGCTGGATTTAAAAAGAAGCACAACTTAGCTTTATATTCAGAAATCTTCAGATTCATTTTTGAGGACATTTAATGAGCAAGGAACAGCAGCACTGAGTCTGTATAAACACCCTGCTGCTCCAATAACGATGAGA